GACCACGTGGCAGCCGGCAAAACCACGCCAGACGCACAAGCGGCAGAGCAACCGACCACGCGACAGGCCGGCACGCCAGACACGCAAGCCGACAAGACCACGCCAGTCCACGCGGCAGCCGACAAGACCGACCAGACCACGCGACAGCCGAAGACAGCCGCGACAGCCGGCAAAGACCACCCCAAGACCACAGTGACAGCCGGCAAGACCCAACGCCGGACCACGCCAGACCACGCGACAGCCGCAAGACCACGCCAGAACCACGCGACAGCCGACAAGACGCACCCAGACCAAGACAGCCCTGACAAGACCACGCCAGACCACGCGACAGCCGGCAAGACCACGCCAGACCACACAGCCGACCCGCGCCAAGAGCACGCGACAGCGCAAGAGACGACGCCAGACCACGGCGACCAGCCGGCAAGACCACGCAGACCACGCGACAGCCACGCCAAGACCACGCCAGACCACGCCACGACAGCCGCAAGACCAACGCCAGACCACGCGAACGCCGGCAAGACCACGCCAGAACCACGTGACAGCCAGACCAAGACCACGCCAGACCACGCGACAAGCCGGCAAGACCACACCAGACCACGCGCAGCCGCAAGACCACCAGACCACGGCAAGACCAGCCAGACCACGCGCAGCCGGCAAGACCAAGACGCCAAGACCAGACCACGCCGGCAGCCGGCAAGACCAACCAGAAGGGCAGCCGGCACGACGAACAGCCGGCAAGACCACACCACCACGCAAGTACCACGCCACGACACGCCGGCAAGACCACCCAGACACAGCGACAGCCGGGAAGACCACGCCAGACCACGCGACAGCCGGCAAGACCACACCAGACCACGCGAAAGCCGCAAGACCACGCCAGACCAGACCACGCGACAGCCGGCAAGAACCACGCGACAGCCGGCAAGACCACGCGACACGCGCAGCCGGCAGAACCACGAGGAAGCCAAGCCGCAAGACCACAGCAGACCACGCGACAGCCAGGCAAGACCCGCGAGCAGCCGGCAAGACGCACGCCAGGCCACGCGACAGCAAGACCAACGCCAGACCTAACGCGACAGCCGGCAAGACCACGCCAGACCCACGCGAAGACAGCGCGACAAGACCACGTAGCAGCACGACCACGCCAGACCACGCGAGACATCCAGACCACGCCAGACCACGCGACACGCGACAGCCACGCCAGACCACGCGACAGCGACACCGCAGACCTACGCCCAGCACGAGCCACGCAGACACGCAGACACACAGCCGGCAAGACCACGCCAGACATCGCGACACCGCAAGACCACCAGCCAGAGCCACGCGAAACAGCGCGCAAGACCACGCCAGTACCACGTGACAGCCGGCAAGACCACCACGCCAGACCACGCGACGCCGGCAAAGACCACGCCAGACCAACCGACAGCCGGCAAGACCACGTTGACCACGCCGCGCAAGACCACGCGAACAGCCGAAGACCACGTCAGACCACGTGACAGCCGGCAAGACCGCACGCCCAGCGACACCGGCGACGCCAGCAGAGGACGCACAGCCAAGACCACGCCAGACCAGCGACAGCCGCAAGACCACGCCAGACCACGCGACACCGGCAAGACCACGCCAGAACCACGCGACAGCCAGGCACGGACCACGCCGACCAGCGGACAGCCGGCAAGACACCCACAGACCAGCGACAGCACACGACCCCACGCCAGACCACGCGACAGCCCAAGCCACGCCAGACCACGCCAGCCGGCAAGACCCACGCCAGACACATGAAGCCGGCAAGACCACGTGACAGCCAGCAACGACCTGACGCCAGACACGCGACAGCCGGCAGACCAGCCCCAGACCAACCGCAAGACCACGACCACGTGACAGCCGGCAAGACCACGCCAGACCAGCGACAGCCGGCAAGACACGCGCAGCCGGCAAAGACCACGCGACAAGCCGGGCAAGACCACGATAAGACCACGTACAGCCAGCAAGACCACGCCAGACCACGTGACAGCCGGCAAGACCACGCCAGAACCACGCGCGCGGCAGAACGAGCCACGCCAGATGCCAGCAAGCCGGCAAACCAACGCAGACCACGCGACAGCCGACAAGACCACGTCCAGATACCACGCGACAGCCAGCAAGCCCACGTCAGACGACGTGACCGGCAAGACCACGCAACAGCGAACAGCCGGCACGCCAGACCACGCGACAGCCGGCAAGACCACGCCAGACCACGTGACAGCCGGCAAGACCACGCCAGACCACGCGACAGCCGGCAAGACCACTCCAGACCACCGCCAGAACGCCAACCACGCGACAGCCCAAGGCACCGACAGATCAGCCGGCAAGACGACCACGCGACAGCCAGCAAGACCACGCGGACAGCCGGCAAAAGCCGCCAGACCACGCGAGAGCCGGCAAGACCACGCCAGACCACGTGACAGCCAGCAAGAAACAGCCAGACCAGCGGGCAGCCGGCAAGACCACGCCAGACCATGCG